AAACGAGACGGGGGATATTGGCGCGTGTGCCAGCCTCTCTCTCTTCCTCTGTTTAGCGAACCTACCGCGCCGCCGCCGTGTGTATGCGCGAAAACAAGGGCAAAAGGGACTGAATTAAGTGGATGCGCTCGATTTTTGATTCACAAAAACGTTATCCACCTGCGCTCGCGCGCCCCTAGGATTCGAATTTACGAGCCAGGATATACAATTTTGGCAATTTTTCATTGAATTTCATGCGTTCCACTTCCAACGTCCGACGTTTGCCTTAATTACGCTCGCCTGGATTCTTTTCCGCCAGATCGCAGCTGCAAGGATCCGAGACGAAACGTTGAATTATAACTTCCACCCGTTTCTTATCGTTGTCTTTTGATACACCGAAAAAGCCTGCGCCGCGGTCTTCTTTCCCGTCACAATAAAATAAAAGGGGATGAGCGACCCGGGCCACGAGGAGGAAACGCGTAACAGGTACGAGAGCGCAGGTAATTGAAAACCGACGCCGGTCGCCCCTTTCCACACTTGATCGACGTCCATTTAAGGGGTCTTCCTCCTACAGGTATTAGAGGAATAAGACGGTCGGATTTTTTGGTAATTTCTGAAGCTAACATTCTTTTTATGAAACACGAGGGACAAAAAACTTTCATGAAGATTTTATATACACTAGCGGTCAAAAGTTTGGAATCACTATGTGAATTAAACGAAGCAGAAGCTATTTCAGGAAAGATGAACATCTCTAAAGAAACCGGGGCGGTTTTATTGTTCAAAAAACTAATAAACACGATGTTTTACACTTTGTCCCATTTTCTGCACAGAAATAGGTAATTTAATCACCGAAAACCGTTTTTAGTTTTAATGACGGCTTTATATATTCTGGGCATTAGGATCTCACAATGCAGCACTGGACTCTCACTGGATGTACATAACGTGACAACCGAATATCTTTTCAAACAATAGGAGAGGTCACACCAAACGTTCTCTTCAATTAGGATTATGACTTATATAAGAGTTCTTTGAATATAAGAAAATGTTAAAATTTCTAAAAATGAGTCTGTACTGATGAGTCAGCACCTAAAAAATTTATCAGGACTTTCGATTTTGGTAGAAATCACCAAGTGGTTTCAAACTTTTATCCCTGTAGTGTGTCATTGTCATGTACATCTTTCTATAAAACAGAGAACAGTGGATCTCGCTTTGCAATACTAAATTTTCTCCTACGATATTTTCCATCTTCATTTAAAACAGAGGTATAGATCAATCTAAGATCACTTGTTCATACAACTTAATTTCCGGGCAACGCAACACCCTCGATTCTTCACAACATCCTGATGCTTTCCCTCGTACGAACACAACTGAATTGAAATGTAAACAATTTAGCGTAATAAAAAGACAACCGTGAACGAACAGCATAATAGAAACCGTCTTCCTCGATTGGTGGGGCTCCGACGATCGCGGTCTTTCGTCGCGAGATCGAGGAGGTCCCATAAAGCAACGTTTATCGATCTCTCTCGTCGGTAGAATTTACGCCGTTCCCGGAATATCGTCAAATCGCGGTGCCGTCAGGTCGTAAAGTTAAATTCCTTTCCATCTTGCGATGGCAATCGTCGCGTCGCGTCGTGTCTCGTCGCGTTTCGTCCCGCAGCCGTTTTTTTTTCTGAATCTTCGTTCTTCCCCCTCGGTCCGCAAGGGAACACTACGCCCGCATATCCCGCCGCGACCCCGCCGCAGTCACCACACGGATATCCGGTACCGATCCGCGTGGCGCACGCATGCACGCATCTCGAATCACCATCTCGAAAGAGCCCTCTTACTTCTCGCGTCGCGGTATCGTTCGCCCGGCCACTTCTCACGTGGCCACGCAACAACCCTCCCTCCCCCTCCAACCCCTCCCCAGTCCCAGGCTTAACCACATTAGCCCTTTAACACGTTGACTGCCATTGTGGTTACCCGTAACCGGCACCTGTCTTCTCGGTGATGAGTGGTCACTGATGATCGACGATAGGAAATTTTTGAAAATGGTTACCACACCATCACTGAGTGCATTGTGGGTCCGTGGTGGTCACGGATGATCACTCGAGAGATACACGCAATATTGATGGGGTTTTACTTAACGAGATCTTTACCATCGTCACCTACAGTATCGGCTAAAAGTATATCACCTTTAGGTTTCTTTGAATATAACTTCGATTAGAGTGCACGGATCCCTATTAAATCATAATATATTTTCAGGAATTTATGAAAAATTAATTTTATTTAGAATCTACAAAATAAGTGGAACTGAATGGTGTACTTCGAGTTACCGTAACAAGCTTAAATGCTAACAAAGTGAAAACCGAATTCATATTTTCGATTTAACTGGTTCAGTATCTTGTAGCAAAACCCTTGGCATCGATCACAGGCTTGGCCATACCCGGCCAAAACATACTAATTCCGTCAAGGATTAGAACTACTCTATGGAACAACTCTTTTATTTTGAATTAAAACATTCCTAAAAGCAGCTTTTAGAAATTCCGAATTTCCGGAATGTTTTTATTTAATAACTTCTTAAAGATATTTAACGGTACTCGAATAATATGTTAACGTTACAAAAAAATTATTTCCCTTAGCCTCAGAGAACTGGAGTCCTTCGATATTTAGTTTCATTAGAAATTTTATATGCATCTGTTAAACTGAATTACAGTTCGAGAGCGAAAAATTAGTCCGGGAGCGACGATACTTTAACGATTTCCGGTGTTGTAATCACTGATGGAAATATTTGCCGACACTTCGTTAGAATTTCATTTAATCACGCTTAGCGGAATCGTTACTCCGCTCGGACGTTGTTCCAAAGTGATCTCGCGCAAACTCGTTTGCTCATTAAACTCTCGTAAAATGCTGATACGTCTGCAATCTCCCGTTCGAGTGTTCCCTGGTGCCGAGAAAATCCAACGGCCTCAACTTTGTTTCTAGACGCGAGAAGACGACAGTCTCAGGGGGACGGCACTCCCGTGTTAACGATTGTGATAGTGTTTTTGGCGCCACCACAGTTAAAAACCGGAAGTGGCGAACTAAACTACAATATGGCGGGTGTTTCAAATAAAAATTGAATATTTAAAAAGTTAGTCTGGTCAAAATTTTTTCACGATTTCTCAATGAAATCAGACAATATAAGAAACCATGAGAAATGAAAAAACTTATTATGTAAGGAAATTCATAAAAGGTGAAAGAAATAATTGTATACAATGTATATGTAGTAGTAAATAAATATAGTAGTAATAAATACTGGAGCAAACATTTTAACCTGTAAAGTTGAAATATCGACACTCAAAATACATGTAGGTAAGCCATACACAACTTCCGTCAAATATAATGACATGGATTCCAACGAGTCTGGGTACTCACAAAATCATAAAAATTTTTTTGTTTAATCGATTCATATGTACAAGCGAGCTTCATTAAATATTTCTTTTTCTTAATTTCGACTGAGGAATTTTTTTCATTCAGTCAGGCCAAGAATTACAGCCCACCCTGTATAATTCTATCAAGCTACCCGACATCTTTCGATTTCGCCCGCACGCTTGAAGTTTAAGTTAGCAACGGGGTGTTCGAATTAGCGTTTCGGACCACGGATAAATATAGAGGGCCACCCAGCGAGCTAACTAATGTACCGTGTGCCCGGCGTGGGGGTAAAACGGTCTTTCCTTCAATTCTCTGTCCTCCTTTTGTCACTCCACTACGACTTCTCTCTCTCTCTCTTTCTCCCCCTATCCTCCTTCGCCTGACGGCATTTTTTCACCTGAAACTGTCTATTTTTCGAGCATATCTACTACTCTAAAAATGCACGGTTCGACTTGGACAATTCTGGCCGGCTTTAATTACAAACCATTAAACTCTAAGATAAATCGTTTCTATTTATCATTATTCACTTATAATCGGAACGTATAAAACAACACAATGGAAAGAATTAACCAGATAAAAACACGGACTACAATTATATCTTGATTTTATAAAAAAAAAAAGTTTTCCTACATCTGCGTTTCTAAATTCTATATGCTTTTAAAAAAGTTTTCTACGATGTTATGTTGAAATTTAAACAGAAAAATAGCGCAGGTCAGATTCTTCTCTGTTACATAAAAAATTACATATTAAAACGTTAATCTGGCTATTATTATAAACGTGAAGGTTTAATTATTAGAATAAAAATTTCGGTTATATATCAGCGTAGAGAATGAGTACACTTGGGCAGTTAACTTCAAGCGCTCGCGAAATCAAATCTTTCAAGGGTTCGGGGGTGTGCAGGGAATGTTGAAAGCAAGAGAATAATGTCCCTGTCGTCGTGGACACATAAGCTTGTGTTCTACACTTTGCAGGATAGATCGAGTACAACGATTTGCAGAAAATGCATTCCGTACCAGATTTGCTTCCGTATTACAGTGGGAACTGTCGGAACATTGTCATGTTACAAAATTCCTCAGTCATTCATCAATTCAAACCTTTAATCTCTACAATTACTAGATTTGTCGTGTATTAGATCATGTTAATTTTCGTACCTCTTATTAATTGGTTATAAAATCTGCGCATTTCAAATGAATTTGAAACATCATTGATATGATTCTGTACGACCATATTTCATCTTCCTGACCACTTATTATCAGTGCATTTTGGATAAAAATGTTCAATTTTCTGATTGGAACCTAATAATTCTCAAAAATCCAGTTTTAGTGTGAATATCAACAAACTCTATCCAATCGAGTTTGAATGTTCACATTAAAACAGAGATGTCAGACATTGTTTATATCTAATTGTTACTTTTAATGAAAAGTGCAATTTTTATTTATAAGGAAGAAAATTACCTAAAAAATAACACAAAAACCTAATTCATTTCACGGGTCCCAACACAATTTTCTAACGCGAGAATTGCTAAATAGAGGAGGTTACGTTTCGATAAAATACAATCAAAGATAGAGGCGTCGAACACTGAAAATGCTTTCGTGCCTAGGAAATATATACTTCGATGACGCACTTACCTTGAACCCAAAGCTGTTCGACCTTGCTGTGAACTTGAGCGGACTTTAGGGCAACGCAGAACGTAGCCAAAGCGATGATCGCGAGGAAGAGGACCTTGCCTGCATGCCTCTGCAGGAAGTAGCCCAGCTGACTCAGCTGATCCTGCAGCCTTGCCCTGATCCACACCGCAGACCTCTGACCTTCCGCTTTGCCCTGAAAAGCAAAAAGGGAACCGGGATTTTAGCCTGTTCCTTCGTGGAAAAAGGTGCTCCGGAAGGAATTCCAAGATAGGTATCTTTGCGTTAAGAACTAATCCCGAGGTACCTCGGAACCTCATTATCCGAAACTAACGGAGGACAGGACAGTTTGGATAATTGAGACGTTCGTATAATAGAAGTCCACATAATTGTAGTGCTTCCCGTTGTTCATGACTAGACGACATATGGCCCGACAATCACAGTGTTCATATAATAAGACATTTTCTTCCGTAGTAACTTCGATAATAGGACGTCACAAATTGTGTTCAGATAAATAGGGGTCTACTATGCGTGCAGTGCTCTTTCTTGGTATTTTGTCTCCTTAACATTTTCAATTTCAACTGGATATAGATTGTACGAATACAAAATAGACAAATTTGTTCTTGTAAAACTCATATGTGGTTGAGTTTTAGTTAGGGACGTTTACGTCTATGAAAGTGTATTCATTACTGATGATTAGATTTAATTTGTATTTGACATGTTGAATGTTATACCTTCTCTTCAATAGTGTATTGAAGTCTTCACTATATCAAATTATTCAATTGAACTATATCACGATATTTTATGCATTTATTTTTTCGAAAGTTACCACTTTATGTTAGAACAGCATTAGTATTTAAAAGCATAAAAGTATTACTGTCTATATGATGCAAGTGTTTTAATTTTAACATCGCTAGTCACTGACGTCATCTATGGCATCAACATATTAACGAATATTGTACCAATTTTTATTGCAAACTTTATCATATTCTTTGAGCAAAAAGAAAAATTCCTTTCGCTTCCAATCCTCTAATCTCTAATTCAAAAGTATAGTAGCTCTTTAACTAAAAGTATTGTATTAAGTCAAGGACAAAACAGAATCTTGATTAAATTTCATTAAAGTTTTGTCTCCTATGTTATTAGAACCAACCCACCATATAACACATATATAACCAACAGTCTACTTACTGTGAATGTGAACTACTGCTAAACTGCACTCCCCTTTCCTTCAAGTAAAGTTCACAAATCCAGTGCAACTTACATTTATATATGAATTTTGAAGCGGTGCCGTTACCGACAACGTGAGATCGTTTCGACAATGAAACAGCGTCGCGACATTCGAGTTTCCAATTCGAATCCAGCAGGTTTACGAGTCATCCTGCCGGTACCGCCTACGATTTTCAAGAAAAAGAGCAGATTCCAGGCGGTTAAAGGGCGGCGCGGCCGGAACGGCAGCCGGCGCGCTTTAAATTGGCCGCGTGGGCTTTGACGATGATAAGTAGCTGGCCGCGGGTTGTTCGTACGAACGTGCGTACTACCTCTTAACTGCAACGACCGAGTCAAGAAAAGAGGTGGCTGACGGTGAAAATAAAACGCATAGACAAAAGACCGTATACGTGCTTATAGTGAGGGGGGGGGGTTAAAAAAATTGAAGCGGAACAGGCTGATCAGATGAATGATAGCGGAAACTCTTGCGGCTCGAGGGAAATAGGAGAGCTGATTGATAAATGAGCGTTGTTATGCAATACCAGATCGGCTCAGAGAACGATCAAAAGTAAATTAAGGCGCTTACACTAAAAAACGGTCAATCTTAAAAGGACTCTTTCACTGTTTCTGAGGCAATGAAAGATTTTTCTTCAGAAACTTCAAAACAGTATAAGCTATTTTTATGAGCTTAGGGATCATCCTGATGTTTTTTTGGATTGATTTCTTATGGTAAAATAGTGTGTATCATTGCATAATAAATGTCGTTTCCGGACTGTGAAGTTGGAATAATTATAACCTTCCGTGAAACGTTTAATCGACGTAAGATCCACCTGAATTAAGATTTCATTGGAAACGAGTTACAAGTTTGTTGATCCTAGTTTCGTAAAAATTAAGATGGCTGTACCAAAGCGCGCTGAAAAACGACATTTAATATGTAAGAACCTAATACATGACAGAGATGGTACACAAAAGTGCTTACCGTATTATGAAAATTACAGAAAACCGTGTAGGATGCAATACAAAGTATCGAAATCTTTCTAATCTTGTAAATAAAAGAAACGACAGTAAATCAAATATCTTTTTCAACGTTTGGAGATGATTGAGCACTTCCTTCAACAGCAGTTTCACCTTCTCATTTATAGTTTCCAAAGAAATAAACATTTTTATTTTCATACATATTAACACCTTGTTCAAATAATCATTTCTAATATAATCGTTGAGTTTGTTCGATCAAAAATACCTTTTCCTCGGGGTTAGCACAGATCTTATTTCTCAGTCAATCCTCGAAGCCATCATAACAGAGATTCATGATATACGACGATTAACAGCATAAAAATGAGACGAAGACAGAGAGGACACCCAACGTAACGACAGAGAGAGAGAGAGAGAGAGAGAGAGAGAGAGAGAGAGAGAGAGAGAGAGAGAGAGAGTCCATGGCAAATTAACAGAAAACGACGGAGGAAAAGAAGCTCAGAGAGAGGGAGAAAGGAAGGGAGGATAGAAGGGAGAGAGGAGCGGTTGCAACATTGCGAGCGGCAACGTTGCACACTACCTGGTGGCCGGTCTGACAATGTGCACCACGGACCACCCGCAACAATACCTATCTTTCCTGGCCGACAGGGAAAGAAAGACGGAGAAGGAAGGACGGGAAGAGAGACCATGGATCAGAAGGGAATCGAGGCTCGTGGAGAAAAGGAGCGGAGACGCTTTTCTCCTCCGGTGTCTACGCCGCTCGTCGAGGTACAGTTAGAGGCCTGGGCTTCGGCAGAAGCCTGGTATGAAGAGAAGAGGTGTGTGTATGAGAGAGAAAGAGAGCCCAGAGCCAGCGCACGATAGGCGTACAGATGAAAATACAGATTACACACGCTTACGTATCTCGGGGCAGTAGCCGGGGCGTCGAGTATCGGATAGCAAGGTTTTCCAGCCAATTAACTCTCGTGCCGCGGCCTCGCGGCCGGCCAGACTCGGGTAACTCTAGACGTGCAGACAATCCTCGTCGGCCACATGGTCCCCGGGGAACTCTGGAGCTGTGCCTTCGACCGACCTCCGTGGAATAAGACTATGAACGGACCCCGAGCTTCTCGCACGGATCCTCCGGGGAATTCACCGGGGGTCTTTTTGCGCTCCTTTCTCTTTTCTTTCGCGAATGATTGCCGGTAGATTGATGATACATGCCGAGATCATTTTTAGAGAAACACCGGAGCCTTTCGATAAGTAAAGAGACAAAAGCTTCCATTGAAATGATATCTGAATAGGAAGTATGATATTTTTATAAGTTGGTATCCCGCAATTAGTTTAATGACGTAACCGTTGTCAGTCATTTAACAATGACAAATCCTCTCGAGAAGTGCACTTTGAGAGAACAGCGTTCAGTGATAAGATTTCTGGTTTCTAAGGGTGCTAAACCAACTCCCCGATGCTTAAGCAATGCGGTATAAGTAGTATGAATCGTGCAAATCTTTATGAATGGGTTGATCGGGTTAAAAATGGTAGAACAGATGTTTCTGATAGGCAACATGCGGGATGATCAATCGAGGTTTCACCTTCAGCTCTGGAATCTCATATTGACGAACTTATTCAAAATGACAGACGAGTTGTAGTAGAAAAGATCGCTGGAAATTGTAACGTGTTTAGTCGTCTTTTGGGTTAGAGAATGTTACTTCTAGTTAGTAGATTTATTCATGTTATACTGTGAAAGAAGTTCTTTTATCCGACAATAATGAACCTAAGTTTATCTGAAATTCCCAAGTCATCTCAAGTATGAAGTGGTTCTGATATCAAACATATCCCCTGATATGGCTAGAAGACGTAACAAAGATGCTTTATAATTTTAGATCAACTGAGAAATTCGCCTTAATGATGCTTAGATATTATAGAAAACTTTTACTTAAAAAATAATAGCTGTTAAACTGCAAGATTTGAACGAAAACAAAATACGACTATTGGTATAGCAGAGTCATTTGTTATCGTAAAGTACTACTAAATATATTCATGCGAAGTTAAATATGTTTAACTCATTAAATGGTAAACGAATGTTCAATATTTTCAAACATTTTTTAGCAATAGTAATCAATAGTACAGACACCACACGCCCGTTATTACGATTATTCGAAGATTTTCTTTATTCCACATTCATCAATTAAACATGTTCAATTATACTGTATCGATATTCTCTTGAAATTTGACATCACAAATGATCTATTTTACTTCATTTTGATTGCTAAGAAGCACACAAAGTTCAAAAGACTACAACTCCCAAATGTAAAACCTAATGAATACGTTAAGCAGAGAAACATACCCAGCGATTTAAATGATTCCCGAACACAGTTCACAGAATCCAGGTCAGCAATCGCAAGCTTGAGTGCCGGTGGAGGCAAACAAATCGTCGTCGAAAGTAGGGGAATGCGGTCGAATTTTCTCGTACGGTTCGGGATCAAGCGAAGAAACCGAAAGGAGAGGACAGGGCAAGGAAGGACGAAGGGAGAGTAAGGGTAAAAAAAAAAAGAGAAAAAGGAAGCGGAGACGCCACGAGTCGCTCTCGAGACGTCTATATAGCTGCAGTGTATACGTGCAGGAGAGCAGCAGAGACTCAGCCAAGAGAGGAGAAGAAGGAATTCCCCCTTTTTCCCGTAAGTGGTCCCCGTGGACCTTATGGGGTTCCTCGTGGTGGGCAATATCTACATATTACAACCTCGTGGCGCTGGGACCACCGTCGTTGACATAAGATCCTGTTATGCTGTCTGCTATCTCCTCGCGAAGCTCGTGTCGCGTCGTAAAAAACATTAAAAGTACGAATAACATAAATTCGTTAAGCGTAGACTCTCCCCTCCCCCCCCCTTACCATCTCCTTCTCGAGACTTCACTCCATCTTCGCCATCCTTCGAGATAGTCTGGCAACAGAAACGACACGACACGACACTGAGTTCGTTACCAGCGACCTGGTGATCCAACTTCCTCGTTCTATCTTTTTCTCCATACGCCCGCCCATGA